ACCCTAACCCTAACCCAGCCTAGCCCAGAGACCTGACCCTAACCCTAGCCCAGTCCGGTCCATTTTACAATCTCCAAGTGAACTCTAAAAAACAAATCTTCACATTCAGATGCTCAGGGGTTCTGTTTCTGGTCCCTCTACAGGTAAGAACAAAATAACAGAACTAGACCCTATCTGAGCTGTAGCAGAACATTAACTCCCACATATCACACTAGCACATTAGACTGTTCTCCATCACACCTAACCCCACCAATGAGAGCTTTAGAGGACTCATGAGGTTCTCTGTTTAGCTGGAGAACACTCCTACATAGGTCTGGGGAGCAACTTAAGATGAAAACAAGAGTTCCACCTGGTCAGATCTGATCTTAATAATGAATAGAATTAGGCATTTTAATCCGATCACGTTCTTTAGAAGCCAACACCCATCCCTGTTCTCATGTGGACACAGAAGAAGCAGAAGAACAGTTAAACAAAAGACAGAGTCTAGTTCCAAAGATGAAAGACCAGCTCTAGTGGAACGTGAAGGGCTGAGGAGGTTCCACATTCACAGACAGGAAGTAACAGGCTCCAGACAGGGTTCTGCATCCAGGGGGGGGTTCACACACTGCGGGCTGTGAGGATCCTGTCCCGGTTCTCCTCGTACTTCTGGAGCATCTCCTGCAGGTCCTGGTCCGCCGGAATCACCTGGAAACAGAGCAGAGCTACGCATCAGAACCCAGGAGAACCGAGGAGAACCCAGGCCCACCAGGCCCAGGTAGGAGACTGAGACTGACTCTGATCAGGGTTTCTCCTCTGGATAGCTTATTGTCATAGTGATGAGAAATGGAATATTGGGTCTACTCTGTAAGTCGCTTTGGATAAAAGCGTCTGACAAATGCACAAACAGAAACAGAAACAGAAACAGAAACAGAAACATAACACTCACCAGCACAGGAGCAGGGACGGGGGGGGAGGAGCCCCCGAGGAGCCAGTCCTCATACAGCTGGTGGATGGACTCCAGATACTCCTGAGAACACACACAGAGTAGGGATGGGGATGGAAACCCGGTTCTGTCAAGGACCCAGTTCCACTTTTTCAAAACCCAAAAATCAACACCGTTTGGGCTTATCGATACCACTATGGAGTCTGGTGTTTTTTTATTATTACAATAGTAATTGTGAAATCCGTGTTGTAATCGGCAGCATACAAGCTAGTTAGCTTGAAAAGTAAATAAAGTTTCAGACGTGTGTTCAGATTGGCTCAGTAAAACCACAATTAGGTTATCATGATGCGTTCGAGTGTAACGTTAAGAAAAGGGAAATTGAGTTTTTGGCGAGAAACATGAGTAATACAGTTGTATATTGCTCTAATTATTTTAGAATATATAATTAAACTACTGGTGCCAACATTTATTAAAAATTACATTTAATTTAAAATACAATTATTTATTTGCTAAATATTGTCGCATGGTCTTTCCACCAAATAACAGAAAAGTATGGATAGTGGTATCGATAAAGACTCGGATCGATAAGGAGTATCGATAAAGGTATCCATATCAATAAATATTAACCATCCCCATCCCTACACAGAGCTGAGCTCACACTCCCTCCCTGAGAGGCTTATCCCGGGATATTGTCCTCACCAGGGGGATAACTTTCTCCTCCTCCCTGCATCTCTGCTTCAGACGCTGGTGGCAGGTCTGAGGAGACGTCTGCAGGTAGACTGGAGAAAGAAAGCACATTTCAACCCTTCATCACTTTTCACAGGTAACACACCTTCAAATTAATTTAATTTACTTTTTTAATTAATTAACTTCAGAGTAGGTCTGACCTGCTCTGTTTGGAAAGCTGTGAGACAACTGTTGTTGTGATGTGGAGCTATATGAATAAAATTGAATTAATTGAATTAATTTTAATTTTGTAATGTCATTGTCTGAACGTGTGTTTGGACTGATTTTGTATTGTGTGATTTTGTGTTGTTTGGTCTTCCTGCCTCAGGACCACAGATGTAGACTAGCAACTATGCTAGAATCTGGCTCATTTACAATCTGTATGAGATTGTTCATTAATGTGCACTGTCCTGAGTAAATAAATAAATAAATAAATAAAAAAACACCAAGTAAAAGCTGGTGTTTTTAGTTTAGTTTAGTTTTATTAGGATCCCCATTAGCTGCCAAATAAATGGCCACTAGTCTTCCTGGAGTCCTCACATGAAGAAATGACATTACATTACATCAAGATTAGCGCGTTAAGGCTGATGATTAATGCCCTGTTTTACCCACATTTCAACTGTCTGGGTTAGGGTTAGGGTTAGGGTTAGGGAGATGGAGGAGTCAGAGGAACCCGTTGGCCTACTGGATGGACAGTTCCAGTATTAAAAAAACAAAGATGGAGGAGTAAACAAGCCTCCATCCATTAATTAATTATCGTTAGCGTTTATCCCATAATGGGCTGGAGCCTATCCCAGTAGCCAATGGGGAGAGGCGAACTATTTAGGATTGTGATTAATCAAGATTAACTCAAGAAACCTTGTGATTCATTAGATTAAAATCTTTAATCGTTTGACAGCCCTCGTCTTAAAGGCTCTTCATCTTCATGTAAACCCAGAAAACTGACCTTATTACACATTAAGGCACATCAGGGCAGACCAAGTTCCTGCTAGTGTCAGACTAAACTTCAGGATTTTGCTTTTTTAGGAGCTAGAATTTAGTTCAGGATGTGTTCAACGTGTTATTTAGGGACTACTCTTACCAATCAGGTCCACGGGGATGGAGATGTTTGTAGTGATCCAGTCAAACCACTCGCTCAGAACAGCGTAGTCCACCTCTGGCATTTTCCCACTGGAGGAGGAGGAGAAACAGGAAATCATGATGACTGGGTTTGCTCTCTTCCTAAAGCCGGCAGTAGACTGTGCCATATTTTCAATATCAGCTCATAGCTCCAGCTCACACTGCACCACCAAAAAATGAAAAGTTCACAGCTCACGATTTCTGTTCTGACACTATAGGACCCGATACTCTCAGTGGCAGGTCCTAAACTGTGGAACTCTCTGCCCACTGGGTTACGTTCATTTACTGACCTGCCACTGTTCAAAGCTCAACTTAAAACGTATTTGTTCAGGATGGCTTTCTGCACGTAGGATCTCTGTATACTGGGTTCTGTCACCAATGTGTTTGTCTTTGTGTTTTATTTTGTCTTGTTCGATAGTTTGATCTGTTTTCATTCTGTAAAGCGCTTTGATCAGCTCCGGTTGTTGTAAAGTGCTATATAAATAAACATTGATTGATTGATTGATTGATTGATTGATTGATACTTTTCTGCCGTCTGACCGCTCAGACTGTACGTCCAAAAACGCACGTCGGACTTGAAACGGAAGACTAGTTTAACAACATGGACGGAACATGAGGGTCACCAAAGCTAAAAGCTGCTTTGGCAATTTGTGCGATTGTGTGAGCCGAAAGCTTTAAAAAGAACAGAAGAAACGGCTGTCAGCGGTCAGTTTTACAGGCTGAAATAAAGGAACTAGAGGGAGGCAGCAACAACTCTCCCAGAACTTCCTGATCCCCTGATGACCACTCAGGGCCACAGATGGAGGGGAGTCGGGTCCTAACGTGGCCTCACTAACACCATTCCCTCACCAGGCCAAACAGAAACTCAGACCCGTTTGGTTTCCTCCAACCAGACGATGTGGATCTGGAGGTGGTGACAGGTTAACCCGTGTGTGGGGTCAAACACTTTTATCTTAACATACTGAACAGATGTTTACCTTATCTTAACTTCTCTCTCTCATCCTAAATCAATTCCAGGGCCTCTGGGCAGAAAACCTTTTGGCCCTCTTGATCGGTTATAAGAAACCACACTGGCAAAGCCCAATTTTTAGCAGATAGACAGAAAATTAGAGCAGAAAACAATGTGGGAACTGTTTCTTTTGTGTTTGTGCACCTGTAGTTCCCACTAAAGGTTGTGAGTGAGTGATTGTGTCTGTGTGTGTGTGTGTGTGTGTGTGTGGTACACAGAACATCAATTTCCACACTTATATTAGTGGACCCGGACGTCTCATATGTAATAGAAATGTGTAGGGGGGGTGTACGGTGTGTGGTCTTTAAATTTGTATTCTGAAAATGAGCCAAAGCCAGTAAGTCTCAGTTTTAAAAATATCATTTTTCTTTTAGTAAAAAATGAAAATGGGTCACTTAGACCTGAACACCACACAAGGGGTTAATGGCTACACATCACTCTGTGTATGCGACACCATGTTAGACACCAGGAGCTGAAACTCCTGATCCAAGAGATTATCGAACGAGTGAAAAATGGTGTCTAAAAGGAGAAAAATGGCACAGTGTACGCCTGACTTTAGCTTCTATTTCATGGGTCCTCAATACGTCGATCTCGATCTACCAGTTGATTTCCAAGGTGCTATTGGTGACATAGTCATGAACTGACGCTATACAAATAAAGTTGAGTTGTTTTGAATAAAAAATACACGTCAGCCTATCAGCCATCCGTCACTTGATTGATACACAGGACAACCAGTCAGATGACATCTGATTTTTTTCCGTACAATTAGCTCTCATTAGCTCAAACACGCCCATAAGCTAACAAGCTAGTTGTTAGTTACATCCTAATTTTTCTTAAACATAATTATGTTGTGTTGTGCAACGTATGTGGTTATACATCAACATAAGTTGTAAGAATCCTCAATATACTTCTCAATAAATACAGTGGGGGAAATAAGTATCTGACCCCTTGCTTATTTTGCCGGTTTGCCCACTTACAAAGAATGCAACGATCTATAACTTTAATCATATGTACATTCTAACAGTGAAAGACAGAATCCCAAAGAAAATTCCAGAAAATCACATCATATGAATTTATAAAGATTGATAACCATCTGATGAGGAAAAAAAGAATTCTTTGTAAGTGGGAAAACCTGCAAAATCAGCAAGGGCTCAAATACTTATTTCCCCCACTGTATAATGGGTAGATCATTTTGACTTGGTCATTTCAAAAGTAGCTCCCATGCTTAAAAAGTGTGAGCACCCCTGGTTTACCTTCTCATGAGGTTCTCCACAAAGATGTACTTGGCGCTGAAGATGGACCTCTCCATCATGCTGACCGGAGCAGACTGAAAGCATGTAAAAAAGTTTGAGTTCAGACTTAGTGAAGGAGAGGGAAACATCTCTTTTCTCTTGGTTTCCAAGTTGTTACACAGCAACAAAAAGTTTCCTCGTTTGTTCCCCGGATTATTATCACATTATGATACTTACAAAGAATGCTTATTCTTCCTCATCAGATGGTTATCATTTTTTATAAATTCATATGATGTGATTTTCTGGAATTTTCTTTGGGATTCTGTCTCTCACTGTTGGAATGTACATATGATTAAAGTTATAGATCGTTGCATTCTTTGTAAGTGGGCAAACCTGCAAAATCAGCAAGGGCTCAAATACTTATTTCCCCCACTGTAAACAAGAGTAGAAATATACCACATATATACACAGGTCAGTTCATCATATCGTCTGCAGTAGTTTTGAGCAGGGCTGTCAAGATTAGCGCGTTAAGGCTGATGATTAATGCCCTGTTTTACCCACATTTCAACTGTCTGGGTTAGGGTTAGGGTTAGGGTTAGGGTTAGGGAGATGGAGGAGTCAGAGGAACCCGTTGGCCCGCTGGATGGACAGTTCCAGTATAAAAAAAACAAAGATGGAGGACTAAACAAGCCTCCATCCATTAATTAATTATCGTTAGCGTTTATCCCATAATGGGCTGGAGCCTATCCCAGTAGCCAATGGGGAGATGCGAGCTATTTAGGATTGTGATTAATCAAGATTAATTCAAGAAACCTTGTGATTAATTAGATTAAAATCTAATTAATTAGATTAAATTAGATTAATATAAGCATTCTTTGTAAGTGGGCAAACCTGCAAATTAAATTAAATTAAATTAGATTAAAATCAAATTAATTATCACATTATGATAATAATCCGGGGCCCTCACAGTGGCCGACACGTGTCTGTCCAGCATGGTGAGCTGCACGTAGGTCTGCAGGGTGAGCCCCCACCGCTGGGGGTCCTGGTACATCAGAGCCTGCAGGGGCAAAGGGACAATAAAAAACCAAACAGAAAATGACTTTTTTTTGGTTTGAATTCCTTATTTGGCCTTTTAACAAAATATGTAAAAAGAAAAAACAGAAATACATTTTGGATATTAATAATGTATTACTATGCGATAAATCAAGATAATTTTTTGGGTAGTCTTCTGCCCCCTGTTATCAGGTGTATCTGATTGTGTACAATGGGATTTTGAGCAAAGTTTTTACCATTAAATTATGCAAAAGGTGTCAGACGCAAAACATTTCAGAAACTGTAGGAATCAGATATGATACATTTGGCATTATAGGGTTAAAGATGTCATTAAATGGACTTCCTCCCTTTACCTAAATATAGGGTTTGTATATCTGGAGTGTGTAACCGAAATAATTTCCCTCTGATATTATTAAAGTATTTCTGATTCTGAGGCATTGGAGAAGCATTTAGGAGCTGGTTTGTATTCACACTCTTTCTGTCCAGCTTCTCCTGAACCATCGACTGTTTTTAGACCCATTCCCCCAGTAAAAAACACCATTTGGGGCTTGAGCCTGCTGTTGTAGATGGGCTGCATACCCTCTTGGTACTAAAGATAGTACTAAAGCCTTGCCTTGCCTAAAGCCTCTCTTGGTACTTGATTCACTCTTTTAAAAGAGAGGTGTAATACAGCTTTCCTTTAAAAACCCTGTGAGCCAGTGGGTGTTTTCTGGTGGGACTGGAGCACATTACCAGAGGGTTGTGTCCGCGCACATTCCTCCACTTAGACACCGGCTCTGTGAGGACCTGGGACAGATGGGAAACACCAACACTTACTCAGTACACACAACCAATACAGACTTCAAGTCTATTCAAAAATGCTGTTTTACCCCAGAGGGGAATTCATCAGATTGACTCTGAGTCTTTCTGCATGCCTGAGGTCCATCTGTAAGCTTCTCCTTTAGCATAGACCATGTCCTATACACACATTTACTCCGATTTAATCCATACTTTATCATTACTATGAGCTGACATGAACAGGAAATATTCTATTCAGCAGCTTTCAGCAAAGCTTCCCCTGTATAAAGATGTATACGGCCTATGGAAACAGTATTTTCCTCTGTTTGTCAGAGGGTGGAGGGGAGTTTAGGTCTTTAGGTTAGTAACTTTAACCTCTTCACCCGTTCTGGTTTATGGGTACCTGGATATTGCTTGTTTTGCTGAAATACTCCAGACAGGTAGTCTTCCCACTGGCGATGTTCCCCTCCACACAGATCTGCAAACAGGGACATGGAGACACATGTAGGCCTGTACAGATCCAGTAGCCTGACGCACAGCGGAGTGGATCCTCACCGTGGTTTTCCGGCTGTTCCCAGCTCCCCCCTGCTCTCCTTGGAAGGAAGACAACATAGTGAGTCAGGAGCCTAAAGCCTCTCTACGGTCAGCGTGTGAAGGACAGAAGCACAGCAGAGCACAAGCAGTGGAAAAGTTAGCCCCGACTGTCCGGTTCAGAGGGGAAAAGCTCTGATGATAAGAAGGCAATTCAGTTCAGGATTATTCCTATAGCACCAAATCTCTCCCAGCTTTCCAACCAGAGCAGGTCAGACCAACTGCAAAATAACTATTTGCAGAAGAACAACAGTTCCACCAAGAGCAGCACTAGGAGAACCAGGGAGGAAACAACTCCCTGTGTCTGGATGAAATTGGATGAAAAATGGTCCAGATATTGATAGTCCAAACGGTTTGTTTATGTTTATGCATTTGTCAGACGCTTTTATCCAAAGCGACTTACAGAGTAGAGCCAATATTCCATTTCTCATCACTATGACAATAAGCTATCCAGAGGAG